TATAAAGTCTCGGTGATTTCTAAATCATTGCATTGGTTTGGAAATTGGAGTGAGAGTGAACTCTACTTGTCAAAAAAATTGACCAAAATTTCGGCACGGCGAGAAGGTACAAAATAGTGGCAGAGAAAGGAAGCAACGGGGAAACGTGGTACTTACCTGACGTGAAAAAATTTACAAACGTTCGAATCTGTTTTTATTATTAATTGATACTTTCGCAGTGGAAGTATGTGAAGTTGTTGTCTCGTGGATCGTGCAGATGGCGTCTTTGGTAAGGATTGTGCTTCGGTAGCACTGTCCCTCTGACCACGGAAATACACATTGGAAATTCATCCGAAAGAATGCTTGGAAGCATCATTTCCACAAAACTGAATTCAAATTACGAGCGGGCACAAATTTCAAAACAATTCTCGTTAAGACTATAATTGTTTTCAAATGAATAAAAAAATTATTGGAAGAAGGAAACCTTGCCAAAATTAAATCGATCAAGAATTACACCCATTATATCTCTCATTTGAAAGCATCCCTTCCCTCCCCCCTTCAAAAAAAATTTCTAACCAAACGAATTCGTAAATATGTAATTGAACACTCGAAGACCAGGCAACGTTGAATGTTTCACCAGTTTATTATCCCTCACATTTCCATCCCTCTATTATCATTCATTATCGGTTTGATTGACGAACTGAAAGAAGCAGGGTGGATAACTCGGCTCCGTGTTCCACGTGAAAACATCCGAGCAAAATTACAAAACTCAGAGCTGTTTCACGATCGAAAGAGAGTTCCACGGTAGCGTACGAACGATTGAAACTGATACAAAAAAGGATCTCGTGGTCGGGATCGAACGACGATTTTCTTCTCCTTCGCCTCTTTTCTCTTCTTTTTTTCTCTCATCGTAGAAAAGGGACGCCGGAAGAAAGAAGCAGGGGGAAAAAGGTTGAGAAAAATTGTGCGTTTATTAGAGAAGATGACGCTCGATCAATTTCACTTCCTTCTTCGCTAGTGTGTCTCGTTTCTTCACGCGCACCAACCCCCTATCTCCGTATTTCCAGGGGGAAATGTTTCCCTGAATCTCGTTGCTTCGAACAGATATTGTTGTTTGATATTTCATCGTTTGACATTAATATCGTTTCGCAACTGAAAAGAGGGGGAGGGGATAAATCACTGAATACGAACGTGTATAAAATATCAGACGTCTCTGTCCATCGCTGACCCATTCTCGTCTTCGATGAACAAAGTTCTGCAAGTGTATTTAAATGAGGTTTTCGCGTGAAACGACGAAAATGTGTACGAAAGAGAGAAGAGCGGATTTCTCGTAGTTGTGCGATCGAATGGTTCAACATTGGAGTGGAAAGCAACGAGACGGGGATTGTGAAGCGTCTCCTTTTGCCTGTACTCGATCGCGAATGATGTCTTCTCGCATGGAACTCGAATTCGGGAAGGATGAAAAAAAAGATCGTCCACGATTTTTGTCTCTTTTTCTCACCTCTACGCTCACTCTCTCCCACTCTCTCCCGCCCTTTCTCTCTCCCTCGCGCGCGCGATTCTCACCCTGCCGAACGTATGCACATGCACATGCGTGTTTATGTGTGTACGTGATTCCATATATATTTATAATATATATATATATTTTTTTCAATTCTTTTTTTATATATATATTATGTATATTCATATATTCGCATGTATAATTAGCTTTAATCCTCCTTTCTCCGCCATTGTGTTTAACTATCTAGAAATATTATCTACAGGGCAGTAAGCCAACCGCTGTGACTGACTGTGCGAAGTTTTTTTTAATTTTTAATACTTCTCACCGTTTTGTTTTCACTTCGTTTCATTTCTTTTCTTTATTTTCTTTTTTTTTTTTTTTTTGGTTTATTCCCTTTTTTCGCGCAATCGGCTCGCGACAAATTCGCGCGTCCTTCCCCGTAAAACTCACTCGTCGCTAATACGCTTCGACAAGTTTCGAGAGCGATCCTTCTCTCTCTCTTTTCATTCCTTTCGTTTTCGTAAATTCTTGGCGGCAGCCACGTGGCCAGGGACTGGCATCTCAACCCTATATACGCCTTCTCGCTGGGAAGGAAAGGTTATAAAAGATTCGTGGAACGAAGAAAATGGTAGTATCAAATAAAAGTCTCGATATAAAGAAGTGTAGACTCAAGATTTTTAATCGTTTTTTTACTTTTTTCATTTTTTTTCATTTTTCTTTTTTTTCCTTAATATAATTTTTTTTTTTTTTACTGGCTTTTCTTTTGTTGCTGTAAGGTCAGGGATGAAACGTGTGCGAACGCAGAGGAACGTGACTCCAGTTCAGGTGTCCATCGGTTTTATTTTTTTTTTCTTTTTTATTTCGGTGGTCGTCGGATGGGTAAAATTGTGCGGTTCATGAGAGTGACGTGGAACCCTGGTCACGTGTCTGTTCGTGTGCGTGTGTTCGGGCGCGTGTCTCGTGCAGGAGGCACGCTTAAATTCGGTTCGTTTCCGCTACCGCAGTTCCACACTCGTTCCTCGTTTCTCTCTCTTTTTTTTTCTTCTTTCTTTTTCTATATATATATGTATATATACATAGATATATATATGTATATATACATAGATATATATATGTATATATACATACATATATTAATCTTACTTCTGTTATTTCGCCTCGTTTCGAGCGCGCTGCTGTGAGATCCGTCGTGATGAGATCAACTCGTCGAACGTTCGACCGTGTAAAGTGACAATCTTAACGTCGATTAAGTACCATCGATAACGAATCGCGGGCGTAAAAAACAATTTGTCGATCGTTTACACAGCGTCGAACACCGTCCGCTGACGAACTGGGAACGTCTCGCGCGAGAATGACGCGCGACGTCGCGTCACCTTCGAGATTCATCGTCCCTGCTTTATGCAACAAGAGCGAGAAAAGAAAGAAAGAAAGAAAGAAAAAGAAAAAAAATAAAAAAAGGAAAAGAATATTTCGCAGTAATTCATCGAGGATCGGACAAAGTTAACGTTGACGAATCGTAGGAACGTCAGAGGCGACGCGACGTCCCCGTTTCTCGACAATATGGCGAACGACGATGCAACTAACTCCGGATAAACAGTTCGAACTCGCGCGTTCCAAGTTGAAAATCATTCTCGCTTAGGCCGCCATATTTCTCTTTTCATCGACGCCGTCGTCTTCGAGCGTTGCTGGGCTAGATCGTGCGCGTCACTTTTGCCACTCGTCGACTTCGTTTCTTTTTTTATTCTTATTATTATTACTATTATTTCTCTTCTTGCTCTCGTTCTTCGTTTTCCTTTTCTTGGTCATCGGTGGGGGGTAGGGGGGGAGGGGGGATAAAATCGAGGCGTGTTCGATCCACGGTGCGTCTCGCTGGCAGTAACTCGGTATACGCTGTCTTGGGGATGACGACGAGCTCCCTCGTCCACACATTTGACGCGAAAAAATGGAAATGAAAAACGGCTCGCGGGTTTTGCATCCGGCAAGATCGTCGAGGACCTCTTTTCTTTCCTTCTTCTCGTCTTCTTCGTCTTGCCTTCAACGTCCATCCAGAAGTGAAGGAATCCATCCCCGCTTGTGCACATTTTGGTGTAGTTGACGATCGTTTGTAAAGTGGCGATCGGTTTGGTTTCATCTTTGGCTACGTTTCGATGGCGAAACTGCTACCCGCGTGGTCCCCAAACCTCTTGCGCGCGAAATTGTATTGTATTCGCAGATTTCTCCGAATCAGAGAGAGAGAGAAAGAGAGCGAACTGTGAAAAGTCGAAGAGGGAATAATATCGAAGAGGGGGGTTACGCAGGGGTTCGAATCGATGAAAATTTCAACGATCGATTGGATTGTCGAGGCGCGCGCCTTCTCCATCGATCTCGAGTCGCCGATGCAACAACAATGGCGTGTAGTGCAACGAAACGTCACGACGAAACTCGGGGGAGGAACGGGTATATTTTTTTTTTTTTTTCGTTTTCTTCTTTTCTCTTTTTCTTGAAAAATAGTAGGTCGCGGGCGGTTCGTTGCATCGGCGACACGCAAGGCCGAGTACATTCGTGGATTTCGCAGACTCGAACGAATTCGTCTTCGAAGCCTCTGCTTTACGTTTCTCTAACGACGCTATCGCGATGGTAACAAAATACTTCGCGACGATTGGCGTGGCGCCTTCGCTAAATTGAATTGCGCTAACTATCTCGGTTCTTCTTCTTTCGACCTGATGTCACAGTGTCGTGCGACGCGCTACGAACCGTCTCGAACGAGGCTCCTCAACCGTCTGCTTATTTATTTGTTTGATATAATCACCTGTCGATCTGTGTCTGTTCGTGGTCCCAGTTGCAGAAGACGCGATCGGCGACGAGACGAACTGGACGAGTCGATTTCTCTCGCGAGTTTTTCGTCGGACGAAATAACATTGCTCCTTTTTTTCCTATGAAAGGAACCTCTGCCACTTCACCGAGAGATTCCTTTCATTCGTCGGAGGAATGAATTTGAGAAACGAGCTTTCCCTTCTTCGAGAGCGAGAGCCTCGTCCCGAGGAAGTCGCTTCTCCCCGACATTTCCCCCTCCTTTCCTCGCGGCGGGCTCGGAACAATCCGTTTATCGATCGTCGATCGACGATATATTGCTTCGTGGCGACGATTATTTCGTTTCTCTCGCGCGATTTTTCATCACAGAAATGCTGAATTCGAATCGTCGTCCGGGTTGCTCACGCGCGATCGAAGCAGTCGTTGTCTGCAAGCGAGATCTTACAAGATTACGTGCGAAGGAAACGAATTGTCTCGCGCGTTCGAGAGAGACTGTTAATCTAACGTAACATAAATCTGACAACGAAACCGCGAAACTTCGCCGTGCGTTCGTCGCGCGAACAACAACCCCGAATTTAATTGTCAACGACGATTTTACGCAATTTTAAATCGAGTCGTCTCTGTCGCAGGAAATCGCCGGTGATTATGTTCGCTGACTCGAATGACGATGAAAGGGGATCTTTTTGGCTGAAGCGAGAGCGAGAGAGAGAGAGAGAGAGAGAGAATAAGGGGATGTAGAGAAACGGGGGGTCGAAAAGAAGAAAAGAAAAAAATCGAGAGAGCTCGAGCGGTGGGAGGGGGGAGAGACAAAGAGAAGACACGATTGATTCATGCGTCGAGCTGGTCACGTGTGTGCATAGAGGGAGAGAAAGAGAGAGAGAGAGAGAGATCAGTCGCGAAAAACTTAGATGGAACTTAGGAACTTTTTCGAAAGATGAATGCCATCCCCGACCGACCCGCGTGTACGTGTATGTATATATATATATATATATATATATATATATATATATGTACATATATATGTTCTGTGTTTTCGATTCCTCGATCCATAACTGGGCGCGTGAACGAGCGTGTGTGTACCACTATGTCCCGGAAGGAGGAGCAGTCCAACGTAGATCAACGTTACGCGATCCTAGCGTGTTCCTCTTTCTCATCTTCCCTCTTCCTTTCTTTTGCTCTTTCTTCTTCCTCGTCCCTCTTTCTTCCTCTTCGTCCTCTTCGTCCACGTTACGTTCATTTCGTTCATTTGGTTCAGTTTCGTCGTCAAGTTCGTGCACGTTGGCCCCGATGTGGCGTCGCGTGGAAGAGCGAGTCGCGAGCTCTTCGAGACGAAAGGTGAGAATCCTCGAAATCTCGTCGTCAATCTCCTCGAGATCTCGATTCTTTTTCCTCTTCTTCTTCTTCTTCTTCTTCTTCTTCTTCTTCTTCTTCTTTTCCTGTTTGTTTTGTATTTCGTTTCTCTTGCTTTCGTTTTCCTTCTGTTCGCTTAATTACCGCTCAGGGCAGAGAGAGAGAGAGAGAGTTCGCCGTTTGTTGGCGCCGATGTCCTCCGGCTTTCGTCGTCATCGGCCAGCGTTGACAGCGTCGCGGCGTCCCCCGATGTGCCGCCTCGGGGGGCTACCCGCTGAGAGACGGAGGCTGTTGGTCCGCTGCCACCCCATCGTTGGTTTTTGTCGTCGGACGACGCGATTACGTGGTGCCCTTCTTCCCCTTCGACTTGCCGGTGCCGCCGTCCTGTTCCTGATTGCTCGCGCCCGTCGTCCCTGTCCCAAGTCGCGCCACACGCCGGTACAGCTCGCTGTTCACGAAACGGGGATACGAGTCCCGATGCATCAGCGTGTAGATCTGCAGCTGGGCCTCGTCGAAGGTGTGCGGCGTCGGCTGCACCATGTTACGATTCACTATTTCGCGCACTCGCGAGTCCAGGCTCACCTGAAAGTCATCGTGATCGATGTTGAAAGAGTTCTATTATTTAACGTTCCCGCGAATAATAAACGTAATTCGGAAGGCTACGAGTCATTGGAAATCTCAGACGAACGTTAAAGATGGGGATGAATTTCGAAATTTTTACGCAATTATACGTAAACCGAAATTTCAAGCGAATGTTGAAGGAATGAGTTTCAGAATTCCAATGATTTTGATTGATTGATTAATTCGGAAGGCTGCGGTCATTAGATCAAGCGATATTTCAACACGTGTTAAAGATGGGGGTGAGTTTTAGAATTTTAGAGTTTTAAAATTTCAGCAATTTTGCATAATTCGGAAAGCTATAACTATTGGATCAAGCGAAATCTCAGACGAATATCAAAGATGGGAACGAACTCCGGAATTTTAAAATTTTAGCAATTCTAGATACTACAGTTACTAGATTGAAATTTCAAGCGAATGTTGAAGGAATGAGTTTCAGAATTCCAATGATTTTGATTGATTGATTAATTCGGAAGGCTGCGGTCATTAGATCAAGCGATATTGCAACACGTGTTAAAGATGGGGGTGAGTTTTAGAATTTTAGAGTTTTAAAATTTCAGCAATTTTACATAATTCGGAAGGCTATAACTATTGGATCAAGCGAAATCTTAGACGAATATCAAAGATGGGAACGAACTCCGGAATTTTAAAATTTTAGCAATTCTAAGTACTACAGTTACTAGATTGAAATTTCAAGCGAATGTTGAAGGAATGAGTTTCAGAATTCCAATGATTTTGTTAATTGATTAATTGGGATGGCTGCGGTCATTAGATCAAGCGAAATTTCAACACATGTTAAAGATATGGGTGAGTTTTAAAATTTCAGCAATTTTACATAATTCGGAAGACTATAACTATTGGATCAAGCGAAATCTCAGACGAATATGAAAAATGGGAATGAACTTCGAAATTTTAAAATTTTAGCAATTCTACGTGCTATAGTTATTATAGATGAAGAGAAATTTCAAGTCGACATTAAAGAGATGAATTTCAGAATTTTAGAGATAGAATAATTCTATTAATTAATCCGGAAGGCTGTCGATCATTAGATCGAGAGAAATTTCAGGTCAGAGTTAAAGGTGAGGATGAATTTCAGAATGTTAAAATTTCAGTAACGCCACGTAATTCGAAAGACCCGTATTGAAACAGATCAAGCTGTCCTTTGAAATATAATATTGAGATATTGTCTGTTTTGAAGAAACGCAAATATCTGTCCACGGATGTTTTGTGATCGGACGGAAGTTTTCTCAGGTGAAGCGGCGATAGTTGTTTGACTCGCGATAACGAAAGCGATAACGATGCATTTCTACGGCATTCTGCAGATTACAACGCGTAGTCGGCGGCAGATGTGTTACTCGGTTCTTTCACCGAAAACAAACACGTTACTATAACTGCACAATAGAAAGGAAGTGTAACTAGGCTGTTGCCTAGTAGTTCTACTGTTAGAACTGATCCCCGGTAGTTAACTCATCCGACGAAAATTCAGTTAAGAAGTCCGTTTAACTAAAATTTCGTTCCGATGGACCAAGCTCGGAATTAACGAAACTATAAAATTTATAGAAATATATTTATAAATATACAATGATAATTATGAGCAGACTGCGGAGTTTTATGCGAATTCATATTTTTTAGGATACGACAAACTCTCGATAGAAAATTATTTTAAATGTTATAGAAAATACTATGTTCTGTGGACATTTTACGAATGTCACATTATCTACAATTTCGTACATAATGTGACATTTCTATAAATTTTCCGAAATTTCCTAAAATTTCCTAATGCATAAAAATCCACGGTCTAATTGTAAAATGTAATATATATTGTACTAAATTTATAAAATATAAAAATGTATGAATTATTAAAATAAATAAATATATTCTTTTTAATTTTTTAAATTAATTTTTAATTAATTAATTTTTTTAATTAAATATATATATTGAATTAAATATATAATGATAAATATTAAATATGAAACAATAAATGAATATTAAATTATACAAATTAAATTAAATATATAATGATAAATATTAAATATGAAATAATGAATATTAAATTATACATATTAAATTAAATATATATATATTTTTTAATTTTTTAAATTAATTTTTAATTAATTAACTTTTTTAATTAAATATATATATTAAATTAAATATTTATTATAATATTTAATTAAATATTAAACTAAATATACAATGATAAATATTAAATATGAGATAATAAATGAATATTAAATTAAATATATATATATTTTTTAATTTTTTAAATTAATATATATATATGTATTAAATTAAATATATAATGATAAATATCAAATATGAAATAATAAACGAATATTAAATTAAATATATAGTATATATTACAACAAATTTACAAGATTTATGAATTGAATCAAATGAAGTTAAACTTGCGGGATACAAAAACATCAGGGAACAAAGCGTAGACTTTGGAAATGGAGGACAGGGATGAATTCATACGAACGGAACGAACCTCTTTCTCCGAGACAGTGGATATGTAACGATCGTAGATGTACCGTGCGTCCTCCTCGATCTTCTCGGAGTTGCTCTCGCGTTTCAGATTCTCGCATGCCAGCCAAAACGCGATGTTCTCGTCGCTGTACTCGCTGAGCAGGAACTCCCTGAAGAATTTACGTCCGATGGGGCTCCTCATCAGTTTGTCGAAGGACGAGCCCCACGACCTGATCTCTTCCAAACTGCACTCAGCGTTCCCGTCCAGACCGTCGAGGCCGTCGAGTCCGTTCCCCGTCTCGCACAACTCGCTGTGTTCCACGCCCGCGTTCCCTTTCTTCTTCCCCTGATCGGCCGCGCCACCAGCGCCCGTCGAATTCCCACCGACCGCCGCCAAACTGCTAATTTCGTTTTACGATTCCTTTTAGTTTGTCTTCGTCTATCAATTTTCCGCGACGTTTAGTTTAGTTGCTGGGAGATCAACGGACATTGTATCGAATGTTTGAGCGTTTCCCTTCTTAACGTGGGTGTCGAGCACTCGATCGAATGGCAATTCTTTGCTTCGGATTAGGTTTAGGTTTAGAGGGAGGAAATTTCGTTTCGTTTACTGTATCGAATACTGTATCGTGGATCGTGGGACGATAGATTTTTTTGCCGATTGAGTGTTTCTTTTTCTTTTTTTTTTTTTTCTTTTTTTTTCTCTTTCTTTCTTAGCATGGTGTACGCTACGCAATGAATTTTGTTAGGTCTTCGGGGTTGCGGATCTTTACGCAAATTTCACATTTTTTGCGAACGCGACGATAGAGAGCCTAAATGTTATAAAATGTTATAAAATACTTGCTCTCTATATATTATTTATTTACTTATTTGTTTCTTAAATTAACACTGAAATTTTCCCATAAATGCATAAAAATCCGCAGTGGAATCTTGATCATTTTTGCAATTAGTCTCTTGTTTATGCAATTTGAAGTTTATGCGTTTATGCGATTTGATATCTGTTTGACTATTCTCACGATTGCAAGACGATATCGCATAGATTCATTCGTCGATCTCTTTTACAACATTGTTATTTCGTTTCTTTCACAATAGCACGGATTTTTTGACGATTGAACGTTTTATTTATATCGGCGAAACAATTTTTAATTGTGATTCGAAAGCTTACTCCGTCGTGGGTGTGTGGTAATAGGTTCTTTCAGTGATCCATTGTTTTATTTGGATAAAGTTATTCAAAGGGAGCAGGATTTCGCATTGTTATTTTAAAATGTTTTTGTTTCGGCGTGGGCGCTGCACGTGATTGTGTAATAATAGATCTTTTTTTTTTGATGATCGATTTGCAATTTTTCAGTTTGTATCTCGAGCGATATAATATACCATTGATTTTCCATTTTAACGCGTGGAACGAGGAATGCACGTTGAATGAAGTGCACGTTTGAATCTTGACTCGCGGCCAAACGAATAATAACGTTAATTGTGAATTAACAAGAGAATAAGACGAAACTGTAATTGACTGTAATTGAAGAGTTCTTGTAGAAAACGCTGTATATGGCAAATGCCAAGTTTTCGGTCATTGCCACATTCGAATAAATGCAATATTTATTTAAAAATAAAGACAACGTATAGAAAAAAAAAGAATATATATTTTTACTTTTCTACGTACGAGTAATCTAGAAACAAACAGAATTTTAGCATCTGCAGTATTTGCAAATTTAAGTAAATAACATTTCTCTTCATACTTGCGGTGTTTTCCACAAAAACTTTAATTGCTATACTTGTTTGAAAGTTACACATGATATTTACTCGGCGAATTTTTCTCATTTCGAAAAAATAGAATTATCCGAAAGAGTTTCGTTAATAACTTAACATTTTCGTGCACGAAACTGTCGTTTTCTTTATAGCATCATATTTGAATCTCACGATAACAAACTTTCCTCTCGATACGTCCAAAAACTTCAATTACTCCAAACTTATTCCAATACGGATATTTACTATATTAATATAATCATTGCAATTAATTGAAAAATTTTTGAATAATAAGCAAAATTCAAGACAAAACGAAGAAAGAGATACAGTGGAGTGCACAAATGAATCAACAAAAATTGTTGACAATTTAGACCCTTATAATTTCGTAAAAAAAAAAAAGAAGGAAGAAATCATTTTAAAGCTCAAGGTCTCTGCTTTCAGAATCTTCAATTCATTTTTTCCAAAGACGATTCTACATCACGTAGCAGGTGGGAAGATAAAGATACTTTTTTAAAATGATGAAAAATTTTGTTCATAAATAGATCCATCATCAGAGTTTTGAAGAATGAAATCTTCTCTTCGCAACGATCTCTTGAAAACTGCCGATTTCTTTTCACTGTTTTCATTGAACATTGAACAATGAAACGTTCGGATTGTCTCGAATTTTCGCCGTTCGAATTTAATATTCAAAGTTCAGTAAAAATTGTACAACAAGTTCTAAGAGCTCGTTATGAAGGGAAGATTTCATTCTTCGAAATGCTGGTGGACCTAATGGACGGGAAAAAATTTCTTTCAATGTTCTTGGAGATTCTTAAATTAACAAAAAACATATATATATATATATATATATATTCTCACTTTTCCACTCGTTGGACGATTTTTCAATCATCTCTGTTCGTACTTTGAAACGAGATCGATACGATTTTCTTTTCACGAAGACTCGTAGCACTAATAATAATAGTATAACGAACGAAGCCACCAGAAATTACCTCAAAGTGCCCATTTCACCGCTCGAAGACCGCAACCACGTGAAAAAAAGAGCGAAAGAAAACCAAGCGAAACCAAGGAAAATTCGGCGAAGAATGAGAAAGGAAAAAGAAAAAAGCAAAGATATTCGCGTGGGACGCGTGCCAGGAGAGACGATAAACCGAGAGGCGGAACGAACGAAAATAAAGACGACACTGTCCTCCGTGGCGAGCCTTCGTTATTCCGGAAGCTCGCTCGTTTCGTTTCGCTCGGCGACGATAACGCCGAGTATCCAGAATAAACAAGCAGACACCGAGGTAGGAGAAGAAAGGCGACGATTTCGGTGGAAAGATTTCTGTCGGAGGATGGACACGTGTTACGCATTCGATGTGGGTTCTCCGTGGCCAATCTATCGACTCGGGGGAGGCGGTTATCGCCTTCCGTTCCAAAAAAAAAAAAAAAATCCGTTTGCTTATCGCGCCGACAGTGTCTTTCCACCGTGGAGAAAGATTAGAAAATCTTCCGCGACGATTCTGTTTCGTACAAAGACGAAATTCTACGAGTTGAAGAAATTCTTCGATCGGTGACGTTTCATGGGCATTTGTGGGGTGGCTTTCCTTGGACAGTCGATCGACGCTTCGACGAATAATCGCTACGAGGTTGATGGATCTCGAGTTTATTGTTATTTTATTGTAGCGGAACGAGTCTCGGTAGTTTTAGTTTCAATGTGTCATTCGCGAAATAAAGAGCTCCAGCACCAGTCGAGGGAATCAATTTTTGGTGACTTACACGCCCGAGGACTATCGCTAAGCTATTGTTAGCGCGACGGTTAGTTTCGAGTTGATGGATCTGTAAGTGCTGCCCGATTCTACGTTCTGGAGGATGAATCTTCAAATTCGCCAGGCTGACGATATTTTTAGTTTCTCTTTGTCGGTCGAAAGGTTGGGTGAGAGATCTGACTTAGTAGTCGTGGAATGGAAAGGTGTAGCGTTGTTTCGACGAGTTCGTTGATTTTTCCGAGCTTTCTCCTCGTCAAGAGATGATCAAGAAGAACTTGCGCCTGCGATAATCGACTGCGGATCTTTGTACATTGTAGAGCGTGTATAATAAATTCGTTTGCCTATTCTTCAAGATACTAAAAGCACGTTTTATCGAAAATCTAGTATCACGAGAATAAATGTTGCTTATAATTGTATATAGGGGAAGAAATATTTCAAGCAAGATTAAAGATATAACGCGCAATCTTTGAAATATCGAAAGAATCGTTTGTTATTGTAGAAAATATTAAAGCTGTCGATGAACGATTGAAGTTTCATCGAAACATTTACTTCGCTATTAACTATTATTGAAATGTTCGTCAAACGTTTCAATGCAAGAATCTTAAAATGCGGAAATACACCCGCTGTATGCAATTTCTTTTAATAGAAGAACAAGAACGTTCAATTCGTTTGTAAAGAGCAATCGACCAATCATACAGCGCGCAGATAAATTTAAAAAAAGATTAATCTTCACGGAAGAACAGATAGAGAATCCGAGGCTCTCAAGATTGTCCAATTTGCACGATTAGCTCGAGGCTACAGGTCCCACTCGAGTCGAAAGAAAACGAAAGAAACGGGCAGATGGGGGAGGGGGAGGGGAAATAAATAAGAAGAGAATGTAATTCGAATGTAAACTCTGTTCTGCTTACCATTTATTCCTGCGTGCGGCATGAAACACAGAAAGAGTGTACGTAGACGCGGTAAATGGGTCGTAGCTCCGTTTCAAAGACAATGGACTGACGTCGTTTCGCTTACGATTATATTACGAAACGCGGCGATAATGGCTTGTCACGCGGCAGGATACGCGAGTTATCGCGGCGACGGTTTCGAAGATCGATCGTCTCCCGGCTGCCACCGTCTCTTCTTTCCCGCGATGGACGGATGAAAACGGGAGTTCGATCGAGCTTGTTCGCTTTCAAGTCCGGCGCGCTGATTTCTAGTAAAAATACCTCCTTTCTTTTTCTTTTCTCTCTCTCTCTCTCTCTCTCTCTCTCTCTCTCTCGTTCGCACGCGACGAGACGAGGTTAATTCATTGTCTTTGAGACGAGATGCTCGAACACGTATCGCGAGAATACGCGCGTAGGCGAGGTAGCATGAATCGTCATGGCGACGAAATTTGTGGAGTTGAAAATTGCACAACACTTTTTTTGCACAATTCGACTCGATTAATTGAATCGTGCGTCTGATTTAAATAGAGGCCGGCGGCTTCCATACTGTGTAAAACGTTCATTGATCAGTGTGGGCTGGTGTTATACATTGCAAATATAAATAATTTCTATCCCTCTAAATTTAACCCTCAACTGGTCTACGAGAATGTCATAGATAATTATACGAGGTAACGAACTTGATTTGAAGCTGTTTTCACTCGTTCGTTCGTTCTGCGTTTTGTAAAATAAACATTGCGCGAACGCTTGAATAAATTTATTCAAAGAATTAAATCACTCTACTCTTGTAATCTAGCTTGTAATCTACGATACTTAATTTTAATACTTTAATAGACGTCGAGTACAAGCTTGAACCTCTAAAAAAATTAAGTAAATTGTTTCAACTGTGACTTAACAATACCAATCGAAGACTAATACTTTGAGATAAATATTTATTGTGTAAAAATCGAGACTACAATATAATTTTAATTCTCTAAATAAAAATGAACAATCTATTATAATAACTGTTATATTATACAGAGTGTATCGGTAATGTAAACATCATTCCTCACGGAAAAAACAAGAAAAAGAAAAAAAATAGAGAGAACGTAGGACAGAATTTTCTCATTTGTAAGAAGATAATTACCTTCGCGCGCTTGATAAATTTTCAAATTTCAAGCGTCAAACAATTTGCCTGCAGCAATTTTATTTCACATTGTTTACTTCCCTCCCTGTTAGATTAGAATTAATTCAACTTTACTTCTACTTGATGTTCCATCCGTCCCCACCCTCAAAACCATGCAATCTTTCGTGTCAAACAATCTTTCGTTCGACGCACAATTTTCTCTCAAGTGTGCAAGTTGTTCCTGAATCACTCTGTGTAATAGAGTAAAGAATTTGCTGAAAACCACCACAAATTTCGCCAGGCCCATCGACGAGGAAAAAAAAAAAAAAAAGCGACGAGAGGTATATAGAGAGGAACGGTAATACCACGAGCAACTGCAACAACAGCACCAGCACAGGCAACAGTTGTCCTTCTTCGAGCGGCCCATGATCCCGGATGGCTGGCGTTGCTGTTGCTGCTGCGGCTGCTGCGACGAGGGTGCCTGTTGTTGTTGTTGCTGCTGTTGCTGCTGCTGCGAGGACTGCTGCGAGTTGCTGGATGATCCGCTCGCCTGGCCTTGGCTCTGCGCGCGGAGCCGGCACCCGCTGGCGACACCCTCGCCACCCCCTGTCCCGTGACTAACGCCGATCCCCATTGCAGTTGCACCGATTCCGCTCGACATCTGCAAACGATATCTGCTCTGTTTAGCCAGCTCTCTCTCTTTCTTTCTCTCTCTCTCTCTCTCTTTCTGTCTTTCTCTCTCTATATTCACGTCCACAACCCATCCTCGTCGCTAAAAATAAGCGCGCAACCCGTGCCACCGATCGACGCTCTTCGGCCTTTTGCGCGACCTTAACCTTCTTTACCGCCACCCGTTACGTCGAGCAGCGAATCTTACGACAGACTTCTTCCGTTTCTTTTTCTTTTTGTCTCGAGCAGGGGTCGCTGGGTCGTTGGAACTTCTTGGGAAATTTTCTTCTCTCCTCGGACAAGCTCGAAGAATCGAGGAAGAATGGGACAGAATTAATTCGATTCTTTTGTGCTCCGTCTTTGTGGGGGGGAGGGGGAAGGTTTGGAAAGAACCTCGCGATGAAAGAGCGAACAGAGTGTGTTGGAGAAGAAATTCAAAAGCTGGGCAAAGAGGTGTTTTCGAAATTTGGGAATCATTGGAAAAGCGAGGGAATTGACAAAAAAAAAAAAAAACCACAAAGAGAACGGCGAATTGTGTGAAAGAGGCAATGAGAAGAAGTAATTCGAACGCGGTGAAAAGAATTAATTAAGGAAATTCGATTCTTTTGTGCTCACTCTCTGGAGGAAAGATACTCGCGAAGGAAGATCGAACAGTGTTGCAGAAGAAATTTGGGAATCATTGGAAGAATACGAGGAAATTAACAAAAGCGCAGAGAGAGAAAGAGGTGAATTGTATCGAAGAGAAAATGGGATGAATTAATTAAGCAATTAATTCGATTCTTTTTGTGCTCGCTATGCAGGAATTTCGACGATCGAGTGCGAAAGACGTGGGAGAAGAACTCGGATATCGGAGAAGAAATTCAGAAATTGGGTGAAGAGGGTGGTGTTCTTTGAAATTTTCATTGGAAGAGTACGAGGAGAGTGAATTGACAAAAGGGCGAAGGGAGCGGTGAATTGTGCGCGGAAGAGGCAATTTGGAAATCGGGTGAAGTGGTATTTCCTTTGAAATTTCCTTGAGAAAAATTCGTAATGTCGAGCGGACGAATAAATGCGAAAGAAAAGGGAGGAGAGAACGGCGAGAGTGTGCTGGAAAGGGAATTTAAAAACGAGGTAAAGCGGTATTCTTTTGGAAACGTTCATTTTGGAACAGCTTGGGAAGTCGTGTTCGAGACACTGGGGAATTAATGGAGGAAAAGCGAGTGAGAATGAAGAGTTGAAAGGATCGGTCGAACGTACGAGCGGGACAAGGAAGTATTGTTTGGGATTTTCTTTGAAAATTTCGAAATTTCTTCTCGAGACGCGGAGGGCTTGATGAAAGGTACGGTGAATTGGATCGAGAGGAAGCACACTCGCGAGTAAGTCAGGGGAATTTGAAAAGAATTTAACGCGTGGAAAAATCGTCGAGATGGGGACAAGTTGAATTAGATTGCGAGAGAAGATTTCGAAAGCAGTTGAAACATACGATGAATTTACGAGCGAGGTGAAAACATTGAAAAATCGAAGATAAAAAGCAAGAACTTTGGAACGTTCTTTCAAAATTTTGGAAAAATGAATGAAAGGAAAATGCGATATGAATGGAAACTTAAACTGAAAGAGGCTAGATGAGTAGAAATAATAAAATTCCAAATGAACAGAAAAAAAAAAAAAAAATAAAAAGCAAGACCTTGCCACAAAATTTTCTCTCAACGTAAATGTAAATCTCGCCTAAAAGAATGAATGAGAAAAAATAGAGATGATAAATTTCCGAATGAATTGAAACAAGAGCAAAACAAAGAAAAAAATGAAAATAAGAAGCAAGTGTGTGTGCTTCGAAATTTTCCTTCGAAGCTCGAAGCCACGCCTGGAAAGCGAAGAATGAACGAAAGGAAAACGCGGCCGAGGTGGAAAATTAGATTGGAAGGGACTGAATGAAGAATGAAGAGGGGAAGGGGGGGGATGAGTTAATTTGAAGTTTATCGGGAGAGGGAGAAGACTTGCGAGAGTAGTCGAGACTCGAGGAGACAACGGTCGATTCGAAATTAGCGTGAACGTCGGTAATAATGAGCGAAGATTAACTGCGGAATTCTGCGCGCTCTCGGAAGCGACAATTCGAAATCACGTTGCAGATTCTGATTGCCACGTTAGGCGAGCGACTTATCCTCCGGAGGGTTTTGATTAGGGAAATCCGATTAAGGAACGCGGAATTGGCAGACAGAGGAGTCGCGACGAGTGTACAGACTTCTAGAAATGTGTGTTAATTGCGGCCAATGCAGACGGTAATAAGGAAAGTGCTTAATGAATGTTTCCTCATTACATCAAAGAAGTAAGCTGAACCTGCTTGACGAAAATTTCTCCTTCGCGCAATTGTGACAAATTCAATATCTAAAAAACTATTTCCATCGTCGAGAGACTGTAATTATCTGGTGATAGACAAACTTCGACAGAATCAAAAAATATTTCGTTGGTAGCTCTATCGTTGAGAGAAATATAATTGCAATATTCGATGAGAGGCAATATTATTTCCAACGTATAACAGAGTATAAGTTGGAAGGAGAGGAAGCTGTTGAGAATTTCTCTCAGAGCAAAGAATTTTAAGAGAAAATGCATTGCCCGTTCAGTAGACAATGGAAAGTATGCAAGCGATGAACATGATGATAAAAGTAGAGTGCATGCACGTGATTCGGTTCGATATATTAGAACACAGAAACGGTGAATCGGACGTAAACTAAAAAGAGGACGTTTCAGGACGGGGTAGCTTTTTATTAAAAAAAAAAAGAATGGAACTACAAACTAGCTTGTATGGAAAAGCGAATCTTCCTCTTTCTTCCTCCCCCTGGCTCCGAGTGTATTTGAACACTTGAAAAACATCACACAGTCAGGCTCGCACGCGGAAACACGATAAAGTCGTTAAGCTTTAATTGAAACAACCTGACCGTACGATAATTGACAGATAAGCTTTCAAAAGCCGGCCAATTTGTTTGGATACGATTGTCGTACGCTCAACTGCACCCATCGATCCGTTCAGTGCCTTCCAAGTTGATGCGGCAAACTGATGAATTACAAGATCTCGCTAGATTCGTCGAATGCTCGAAGCTTTAAAATTTAAAATTTAAAATAAGAATTTGAAATTCCCCCTGTGATGCAGTGACCTTGCCCAAAGATTTGGAAGAGAATGTTTGAAAGAATGCTATCATAGTTGCTGTATAGCGAGGTCTCGAGCCTGAAAAATCTTCAAGTTACAAAATAACACTTTTGAAACACTTAGGATTCCAAGAGTTCTTGAAGATCCAAAGCATTTTCCAAATTTCAAACAAATTTATTAAGTGTATTTTGAAAAGAATTCTACGATAGTCTAATAATCGTGATCTCTCGAGTACATTAAATTCAACGTTTCGAAAAGAATTTCGAAGAAACTTTGTCTCCTGAAATTTCAGAAGTTTCGAGTTTTGAAAGTTTCCAGCACCGTCGAAAGATTTCCAGGATCTCGAGCTAGATGACCTAATTACGCCAAACTTAAAACATTGACCTCCCCACCAATTCTAAACCACGTGTGAATCCACTCACAAAGGATCACAATTGTGCGCGTGCATTCCAAATTTAAAACGTATTAAGAATTCTGCGATGATCTAATCGTCGTGACCCTCGAAATTCACCGTTTCGAAAAAAAAAACTTTGACTCGTGAGATTGAAAAAGAATTTTCAACGTCTCGAAAATGTTCCAGGATATCAAGCGACCTAATTGCGTCGAACTTAAAAAATCGAACCACCAATTCCAAACTCTGCGTGAATCGGATCTCAAACATTCGAAACGTTTAAAACTTTTTTAGTATAACTCTGAAATTTAATTAAGTATAATTCTGAAAGATGTTCTGCTATAGTCTAATCTAATATAGAGATCCCAAGTATTCTAAGTTCACCGTTTCGAAGAGAATCCTGCAGAACCTTGACTCTCGAAATGTTAAAAAAAATTTCCAACGTCTCCTGGAGACTTGAAAGATTTCCAAAGATCTCGAACGACCTAATTACGCCAAACTTAAAAAAATTTACCCCTGCCCCAATTCCAAGCTACGCCAGTTGTGATTTGGGCCACAAACGATCGCAGTTGCGCGTGTACGAAAAATTTGCTTCGCGAGCAACTTGTACAACGCCACGATAACGCGTTCAAGAGCCGTTTATACGAACTTTTCGTCGCAACGCACGACGAAAACGTGTGTTGTGGTTCGTTGCCACGGAAAATCGCGGCCGCGAACGCCGACGACGAGGCGAGTAAACGGAAGTAGAGGGGCGGAAAGTGAAAAGCGCTTCGAGGAAAAATTCATCAAACCTGATGGAACGTTGAAAGATGATGTTTCTTGGAGAAATTGGAAGTATTAACAATCGGAAGAATTATTTAACTTCAGATGCATTTACAATTCTTGGAAGAATTATTTGATCGATTCTGAATTTGAAGTGAAAGATTGTATTAGATTTTCGAACATGATGACGCTAAACTTGATGGACGCTGGAAAATGACGTTTCTCGAAGAAATCTGGAATATACTTAACAATCGGAAGAATTATTTAACTTCGAATGAATTTATAATTTTTCAAAGAATTATTCGGCTGGACGAATTTAATCGATTCTTAATTTTCAGTGGAAAATTGTATTAAATTTTCGATTTTCCTCGATAACATTTTCGAAGCATTCTAAATTTGACGAACGCTGGAAAATGACGTTTCTCGAAGTAATCTGGAGTACACTTAACAATCGGTAGAATTATTTAACTTAAAAGGCATTCGTAATTACTGGACGAATTATTTGCGTGGATGAATTTAATTTCCTCCTAGGTTGGATTAGAAAGTGGTGTTAAATTTCCGATTTTCCTCGATAACGGAGCGAAACATTCTAAATTTGATGAACGCTGGAAAATGACGTTTCTCGAAGAAATCTGGAGTACACTTAACAATCGGTAGAATTATTTAACTTAAAAGGCATTCGTAATTACTGGACGAATTATTTGCGTGGATGAATTTAATTTCCTCCTAGGTTGGTTTAGAAAGTGGTGTTAAATTTCCGATTTTCCTCGATAACGGTGCGAAACATTCTAAATTTGACGAACGCTGGAAAATGACGTTTCTCGACGAAATCTGGAGTACATTTAACAATCGGTAGAATTATTTAACTTAAGATGCATTCGTAATTACTGGACGAATTATTTGCGTGGATGAATTTAATTTCCTTCTAGGTTGGATTAGGAAGTGATGTTAAATTTTCGATTTTCGTCGATGACAGAGCGAATAGACGGAAGTGGAGGGGTGGAGAATGAAACCGCCGCGAGGGGAAGCGCTTCGAGCAAAAATTCTAAACTCGATGGACGCTGAATGACGATGTATCTTGGAGAAATCTGGAGTATACATAACGATCGGAAGAATTATTCAACTTCAGATTGCATTTATAATTCTTGGGAAAATTATTTGACTCGACGAATTTAACCGATTCTTAATCTAGATTGGGAAGTGAGGTCAAATTATGCTAAATTCAATGGAAATTTTCTTCATTGTGTAATTTAGCTGGCTTGATAATTAATTGAAACAGTTGAAACTTAAGATGCACTTGTAACTAATAGTAGAAGAATTACACATTTCGTGAATTAAATTGAATTTGATTGATTGATCTTTGATTTGGATTGGAAAATGAGGTTAGATTTCGTTGGTTTAACTCATTACGTAAATTAGGTAGCTTGATAATTAATTTGATATTTATAAAAGCGAACAATAGAATGTATTAGAACAGCTTTAAAGCAGTGGCTTTGTTTAAAAGAATTTTGACACGTAAAGAGCGAAATGTTTACGCACTGGTAGATATTTTTGGAAATATTTTACTCTACAACGTGGCACATCAAAGAAAGACGACAAAGCGACAGAGAAAAGAATTGAGAAATACTCAAACTGTATCCGCCACGATTCCTTACGAGCAACGATCTCATAAAATGATGAAATTAATCATCCTTCGTTATTAAAGACAATAACGAATTCATTGCTTAAATTTAAATTCAACAATCCATTATCACTTGAATGAAAAAGAAACACGGCGACGAGCAATGTTGATTTCGTTAACGCGAGGAGGAGAAAGTTCACTAATAAAACGACACGGAGGGAACGTGGCGTAGATACGGAAACGATCGAGGGATCGCCGGTGATTATTGGAACGTTGCCCGAAAGTGCATTCGCACAGTGTTTACGTACCGCGAGGAAGACACGAAAACATTTTCATTCGAAAAACATTCGCGTGAAAAAGAAAAAGAAAAAAGAAAGGGAACTTTTCCTCTGCCAGAAGGCTGCGTCTCTATTTTTAAATGCTGCGTTCTCCGGACCGTTTCGAGGAGAGATTCTCTTTTTCTCTGTCCGAAAAAAAAAAAAAAAACGTCGTACAGCGTTCCGTTGGATCGGTGCAACAAGCTCAGACACTTGTTGATGCCACGTATCATCATCGAGTGGCAGCGACTCGAAACGTCGAAACGTTATCGATGCAAGAGGATGATCGACCTCATCGACGCGTCACTCTGTCCGAAAGCACGTGCACAACGTGGACCTCGGTTACATTTTGGACAATTTAATCGATTTTGTTCGACAATTCAACGTCCAGTACCTCGAAGAGCCAATATAAAAGTTTATATCAATATAGGAGTCTGCGAACGACGATATTCTGAACATTTGGATCTTTATATAGAGTGTTAAGAAACGCGTGGTTAGGCACTATTTATAGAGTTTCAGCGCGAAGGCAGAGAAAGAGGTTTGCACACAAAAATAACGACGAAACTTTTCAAGCTAAAATATCGTTTAATATCGTTTGACATCGCGCCGAGTGTTTGGAGGTTTGCGCATTAACGAAAGACTGAACGGTGAAACAAGGCTTCCGTTTAATCGCGTTCGTAGAGAATGTATGAATTTGCATAAACATTCTCTACAGGCAACACAAAAGCTTCCCGAGAGCACTTTGTTCGAACACTTTATTTAAACCAGCGACCTAGATCTCAATTATTTCCAACTAGAAGATCATTTGCTCGAATAAATTTCCCAACCCCAACTCCTCTTTCTAACAAGTTTTCTCGCAACAACTGCCAACACCAATTTTTCTCTAAACAACGATCGTTCGATCGTACCGTGTTCCGCGGAGGATCGCGAAACGTTTCCCGGTTTCGGCGCGGTGTGTCAGCAACAACGGATACATCCGGGCCGAATATAAATCTCGGTTGGATCAACAGGCTCGACACAATCTAGCTAACCTAAATCCTCGGACGCTGCTCGGACGTTTTCCAGCTGTTAACCGTCCGCTCGTTCCAATCCCTTTCTCGCGTTCCCCGAAAATTCAGAAGCAAATTGAAATTTTCACTGTCGAAACGAAATGTATTGATGTACGAAAAGAAAAAGAGATACACAGCGAGAGAGAAAGAGAGAGAGACAGAGAGGGAGGGAGGGAGGGAGAGAGAGAGAGAGAGAGAGAGAGAGAGAGAGGAGACACACAGGACGCAAGCTCTCGCTCGCATCTCAACCATCGACAGGGCATCTCTCAATCGATATCGCATCGCCTCACCTCTATCATGTTCCATGCGCCCGAAAGCGAGACCAGCTCGCTTCCCGCGTTCCTGCGATCTCAGCTTAAGGACGTTCACTTGGTCGAGCGAACGCGACCAAGCAGCCGTTTAATCCGACCTCCCTCTTTATCCTCTCTTGGTCACTCGGATACGGCGACGCTCGTGAACCGTTGCGGGTGAGAACCTTATCCTGGTCCACCGGCGGGACTGAGGCCTCTGCGGGCCTCGCCCGAATCCTGCATGCTCTCCAGCCACGCGCTCCTCGTAGCTTCCTAGCTTCCCGTATTACCTCGCCTCCTTTCCCTTTATTCTTCTTTTCTTACTTTCTTTTCTCTTTTTTCTTTTTTTTTTTTTTT